ATTCATGTGTGAAGTGTTATTCCTGTCATAGTGTTAAGCTAGCTGCTTTGTAGACTCAATTATGTATTGCTTTATAGGGTCTATGAGCTTTGTAATTACATGTGCTTTTATGGTAGCAAGTACCATCCATGTTTAGAACTCCTTTGAACATTTATTACAGAGCCTGTCTGGTGTTAATGAATTTCCTTAGCATTTCTCTGTCTGGGAAAAACTATTTCTCCTTCATTTATGAAGCTTAGTTTGGCAGAGCATGAAACTTTGACGAGCATTTTTTTTTTTCTTTTAGGTGGCTAAAAATAGGCCCCGGTCTCTTCTGACTTGTAAGATTTCCGTTGAGAAGTTTGTTGTTAGTCTGATGGGATTTCCTTTAGAGATAATTTGGCCCTTTTCTTCAGCTGCCTTGAAGATTTCTTCTTTCACATTGATCTTGGAAAGTCTGATGACTATATGCTTTGCAATAGTTATCTTGTATAGTATCTTGCAGAAGTTGTCCAAATTTCTCGTATCTGAATATCAGTCTCTCTAGTATGATTAGGAAAATTCTTTCCTGAATTATTCCTTCAAATATGTTTTCCAGGTTGCTTACTTTTTCTTCTTCTCTCTCAGGAATGCCAATAAGTCATAGGTTTGATCACTTTGCATAATCCCATAATTCTCAAAAGATTTCTTCGGTTTTAAAATTCTTTTTTTTTCATTTGTGTTGGACTAGGTGAATTTGAAAGACCAACCTTCAAGCTCTGAAATTCATTCTCCTGCTTGTCTAGTCTATTGTTAAAGCTTTCAATGTATTTTGAAATCCCTTTAGTGAATTTTTTCAATTACAGAAGTTCTATTTTTTTAAATATAGTTTTCTTGTCTTTCATATTCTGTATTGTTTTTCTGGTTTATTTGTAATGGACTTCAACTTTTTCTTGGATCTTGTTGAGTTTCCTTGCAATCTGTATTTTGAATTCTCATCTGTCATTTCAGACATTTCAGTTTGGTTAGGATCCCTTGCTAGAAACGAATGCAGTCCTTTGGAAGTATGTAAATACTCTGGGTACACTGGAGTTCTTTCACTGATTCCTTCTCATCTAAGGAACCTGTTGCTTCTTATTTTTGAATTTGGTATTGTTTGGATGAGGATTTTAAATTTTTTAATTCTTTTATTTCCTTGATGGTATGACTGTGGCACATGTAGTATATGATTGTTTGGCTTCATTTCTGGGTGCTTTCGGGGAGCCCTAGCTCTGTATGTGTTTCTTGGTTGTAGGTAGCTTCTAAGCGGTAGCTTTCTCAGATGCTGCTTGTTGTGGTGATGTATTAGAAGTAAAAGCTAACACACTCACCCTTGTTGGGGGCTGAGGGTGCAGAATTCTCAGGAAGCTTATATCATGGACTAGCACTAAGTCCTTCAGGTAGCAGTTTTTTTTTTATTCGGAGGTCCAGTTTAGGATGCAGTCCAGTAGATGGTACTTAAGAGTAAGGGAGGGTAGGTAGGCTGGTGTCCAGTGGAAACACCTGCCCTGACACACTGGTGGCAAGAGATCATGTTGGGGTGTGCCGAGGCCTCAGGGGAAGGGGCAGAAGTACACTAGCTCCTTCTCCTGAGTAGACAAGAATGTGATATGCTTCCCTATCATGGCCCTGTCACAGAGCTCACAACCTTCAGTTTATAAAGACTTTGTCCTTTGGTTCCTGGCTGTGGTGCAGCTGAAGTCTGTAGATATGCCACTCTGACAACTACCACTAAAATGGGGTTCAGGGCAGAGTCTCTTCTCCAAGTCCAGGGCAGGCAACTCCATGGCCTGTCTTTCATTGCCAGGGCACTGCAGCTGTGTATAGAGACGTTGAGTTGGGCCTGTCCTTCCTGAAAGCCCAAGCAGCACAGGCTCACTTTCAGCCTGGGTGGTACCACCATGAATAACATGAATAATGTTCTCTCCTAGTGCACACTCACTGGGTCCTGGAGAAAAGAACCACTGCTACGTCTGCAGCCGTATGGAGGGGAGGAAAGGGATGACCCCTACTTTTCCTGCTTTTTCACGCCCATTCCTGAATGTCAGTGCTGCCCCCTTCTGCGATTGGTGTCCTGCCAGTGTTTTCTTTGTCCCTAGGAGGGCTTTGGCAGTCTGTGCTTCCCCCTCGCTTATGGGTGGCCCATGCTCAGCGTTAGCTCTCCAGGGGTCCTGCATCTCCCCAGGGACCTGCCCTGTACTTGCCAAAGTCAGAGTTGGTTGTGGGCATATATTTGCAGGTGGGCAATGACTCAAGGGTAGAGAATCCCCAGGCAGGATAGTGCTCCACCATGGGTACACAACCAGTATGGCAGCCAGTCTCAGTTTGAGTGTGAGGAAAGCACAGGCATGCCTGCATGTGCTGGCCACTCAGTTCTCTGTCCCTGGGAAGTTTTCAAACTGCTACTGATGGTGTTGCCCTATCATGAGGGCAGAGGGTCTCCCCAACAGTTTAACAGTCAGCAGATTGTCAGAGGGGTGAGGGGAACAGAGAAGCACTCCCACCTACCCTGTGGGGCTCCAAGTTCCTTAGGGGTTGATTTCTGCCAGACTCTTGCTGCTTTCCTTTTCTGCACCCCAGCTACTTTCTGTGGGCACTCCAGCAGGACCTGGCTTTCTTCTCTCTGTTTTCTGTTTGGAACGTGTCCATTCACTGGTAACTTTGATCTTTCTGAGGAGAACTGGTGTCAGATGTCCCTAGTCAGCCATCTTGGAAACCCACCAAATTTCACTCCAGACATTTTACAGATAATCTCATAAATACATTTTATTCGACTGGGATGTTAGTTGACACATATGTGTTCCCTGGTCCTGTTTTATCAGCCAGTGATTGAAAACTGACTGAGTATAAACAATAGGAGTATATAGCTGAAAAAGATATTTCCCAGGAGACACCCTCCTGAAATTCTTGTTTTAACAGTGGAAATAACTATGTTTGATACAAAGTCCTTTGACATGCCTGGAGGGTGAATTAGGTGCTTTGGACAGGGAAGCTGAGGCCAAGGCTTGTGTGGTGGCTCTGCTGCCATCAAGTAGTGAGGGAGATTGGGAAAATCTTTTAGCCTTTCTGAGCCTCTGTTTCCTCATCAGGAAGATCAGGTTATTGTTCTGGTTCTCTAGGGTCACTTTCTGCTCAGTTTTCTCTGAGTCTATGAGTGAGTGAGATGTGTAGTCAACATACTTCGGACGCTGCAACGGAGAATGACCTTGGTCCCTACTGCATGTTTCCAGGACCCGGCCCAGCCTGAGCCAATGCCCTTAAAGTGCAAAGCAAGACACAAAATGGAAGAAAGTCAGCAAGTTTGGAGGATGAAAATAATTTTTTAAAGTCCAAAGTAACAGTGGAACATGTGGTAGCCCATGGTGGTGAGAATAAGGACAGATTTCAAGCTGGGTTCGGATAAGTCAGGGGAAAATAGTGTCTACAGCATCATCAGATTCTTCAAAGAACATCTTGGGCTGAGCAGTTTGTAACTTACTCCACAGTGAACTTATGCACCATGTGAAGGGGATCCATAAGATAAACTCAGGTCTGGTTTATACTGAGGGGAAACACCAAGTCCAAGAGGGGAACACCAATTCCATGAAACCCTGCCCAAGACCCAGGGGCCTTGACCTTGGGACTGCCCTAGCAGTGGACTCTCCTCAAGTAAATGTGGGCTTAGCAGGAATAAATGGTGCTTAGAGAAGGGTTGGAGACATCCATTCTTACCTTAAATAGTTCTGCCCTAAGTTTAGGAGGGGCCAGAGCAGGAGAATTCTTGTATCTGAAGCAGCAATACTGATAATGTTCTTCTGTATTTACAGTTGAGAAAGGCTTTACATACAATATCTTATAAACACGTTAAGTGCTGAATTTTCCTTTCCTTGTGTTTAGCACTTGGGTTCAGATATTAATGTCTTCCTGAGGAACTCAAGCCAGTAGGAGGATGAACACAAATAGATAATTTCAACAAATGTGATAGCTCCCTTAAACTGGGAGTGATAGCTCAAAGCATATGCAGGCCCAAAACACTCTTCTATATAAGAGGGTGAACCATTGAGAGGAATTGCTGAGGACAGTCTGTTTTCATCAAGTCTTATCACAGATAACTGGTCCCAGGACATGGACCAAATGGTATAAAGTAGAGTTCTTTCTATGGAAGAGAAATTGTCCAGCCATTGGACAAATATTACTAAGAACTTCTTTAATTCTTGGCCCTGAACTAGGAACCATGGATTCAGAGATCAATAAAACATTATCTAAACTTTCAAGGGGATCCAGGTAAGTAGTCAATAATGGCCAAATTGCATGAGAAGTGTTCTGACAAAAACATGACTAAAATATAGGGGAGGGGGAATAAGATTAAAAATAGGAAATGGCCTGCAGTCATTGCAATGATAATAAATGAATAATAAGAAGAACTTTACACTCTTAATTCAACAATTTAGAAGAAATGGACAAAGTTCTTAAAATCCGCAAACTAGTAAACTCAACCAAGATGAAATAGACAATCTGCACAGTCCTATAAACACTGAAAAATTGAATTTGTAATTAAATAACTCCCCACAAAGAAATGGTCGTGCCAAGATAGTTTTACTGAAGAATTCTACTAACATTTAAAAAAGAATTAACACTAATTCACACAATCTATTCTGGAAAAATATAAGAAGAGGGAACACTTCCCAACTCATTTTATGAGACTAATATCATCCTCACACCAAAACCAGGCAAAGACAGCACAAAAGAAAACTATAGACCAATATCCCACATAAATTTAGATGCAAAAATCATCAACAAAATATTAGCAAGTCAAATCCGGCAATGTACAAAAAAATATACCATCACAAAGCAGGATTTATTCCAAGTGTGCAAAGTTTGTTCAGCATTCCAAAATTAATCAGTGTACTCCACCATATCAACAAACTAAAAAGAAAAAGGAGATGATTATACCACTTGAGGCAGAAAAAGCATTGGCAACATCCAATACCCCTTCATGAATAAAACGCTCAGATTGCTTACACAATCCCTCTTCCATGATTTCTTTCTTTCTTTCTTTCTTTTTTTTTTTTTTTTGAGACGGAGTCTCGTTCTGTTGCCCAGGCTGGAGTGCAGTGGCCGGATCTCAGCTCACTGCAAGCTCTGGCTCCTGGGTTTACGCCATTCTCCTGCCTCAGCCTCCCGAGTAGCTGGGACTACAGGCGTCCGCCACCTCGCCCGGCTGTTTTTTTGTGTGTGTGTTTTTTTAGTAGAGACGGGGTTTCACCGTGTTCTCCAGGATGGTCTCGATCTCCTGACCTCGTGATCCGCCCGTCTCGGCCTCCCAAAGTGCTGGGATTACAGGCTTGAGCCACCGCGCCCGGCCCTTCCATGATTTTTTAATGTGAGCAAACAACTGTTCTGGTAAACGCAATTTAATCCGCCAGCCTTGGCTCGCTCAGGTCACGGGGTTGGGCCGCCTTTGCGCTTTTCCTTTGGATCTGCCCCTCTTCTGGGTTTGTTCTCTCGAGCCAGGGGAAGGACTCAGTCCACTCTCTTTGGCTCCTCTTGTCTTATCAGAAACCTCACACTCCTTCCCTTTCCAGAGACGCTTCAGAGAATGCCTTGTTGGGTTTGCTGGAACCCGGCAGGGCTCAAGTATATGGGGATGCGCGCTGTTAGTCTGTGTTTCCTCCGCTGTGACGGCTCTTCCCGATCCTGTAGGAAAAGGCAATGCCCCTTTTGTCTTGTCCATGTGGGACTCCAAAGGGTCCAGACGCGACATAAAGGTGGCGAATCCTCTCAGAGTGGGCAGGGAAGGAGATAGAATATGGGAATGGGGCGGTAGAGGGGTGGGATTTCATGAAATTTCCTGATTTAAGACTATCATGAAGTAGGCCTCTTTGGGAGCTCGGCTCTCCAGTCGCTGGTGAGGGTAACATCCCATCAGTCTCTGGTGAGGTCCAGTCGCGTCCCCCGACTGCATTTAGAGCCCAAAGCAGAACAAAGCCGGCACTGTGGCCTGGCGTTCAGTGACGCAGCGGTGGAAGCACTCTGGGGAATACTCAGAGAGAGAGAGAGAGGAGAGAGAGAGAGAGAGACGAGGAAAGAGAGAGAGAGAGAGAGAGAAGAGATTTTAACGTCTTCAAGCAAAAAGAGACTCTTTCTGCCTGTTGACCGTCTGCTGTCAGGTGAACGTGAAAATCCATCCAGACGCTTTCTGTGAAAACCGCCTTTACTTCTTTGTCCCTCTTAGGTTAAAATTCACACTCTATAACCCTATTGAACAGGAAAATTACCAAAAGGAAATATAACACGTTTCAGTTTTGTAAAGGGTAAAATGAAATGCCCTTCAAGAAGAATCAGAAGAGCGACCAGGGAGAGAGAAGCGATCGTGAAATCTAAGTGAGCTGTCCCCGGGTCTTCCAGGGTTTTCTACTCGGCCTCATGAAGGCGTGGCTTGGCCTGAGTTGATGTGCCCATATTTTCAAATAGCCAAGTGCCCAGAGTCACAGCTTTTGCTATGGTACCTGCTAAAATTTGAAAGCGTCATTAACTATTACTTAAATTGAGTCGGCAGACTAAGAGACAGCCCTTTGGGAGGAAGACGTCGAGGCCCTGAGACCAAAGGGCCAGCGAGGAAAGAGCGCGCAGCTCACGCCCCTCGGCCTGGGGAAGGGAGGGCAAGGAAGGTCCCACGGTTCCTGGGAGGACGCGAAGAGCCAAGAGCCCCGACGGCCGGCGCCGGGCAAAAGGCCCCGAGGCGGGGTCCGCATCCATGGAAGGGCGGCGTCCACACTTCTGCGTGGCGCGAGGCGCCCGGGGCTCGGACGCTCAAAACCGCCGGCTCCTGCAGCTTCAGGGAGCCAGAGAGTGTCAGCTGGGAGGATCCCGCACACAGCGCTTAGTTCTGGAACTAGATACCCTGCGGGAGGATGCGCGAAGCCCGGGTATGGGTCCCCATGGTCTTCGTTTGGAAGGTAGGCGTGGAACGCTAAGCCTGGGCCTGTTGGGAGTCGTAGTCTTCTTTATGGCTGGTGCTTATTGGACTTTTTTTCAGTCGAATTTGGAAATGCAGTTGAATTTCTTACTTTGGAAACTATAATAGAAATGGCTGATCTAAGATTTTCATGATTTATATTTTGTCTTATCTGGTGTATGTAGTTTCCGTAGTGTGGTTATTGTCATGTTCACCTCACAGGTGAAAGGTTCCTGGTTCGAAACTGGGCGGAAATGTGGGGGTTTTGCCTCTAAATTTAGTGAGTTTAATCGAGGTTGGGAAACAAACAGAAAAGTAGTTGAAGCTGTGGATACATTTTAGACCTTATCAATCTAGACAGATTGTCGATCAGGCTTCAATTTCCACTGGTCTGCCAATAAGAGGGTGTCACAGCAGGCCTGCTTAATATTAGCTTTGGTTCCAGAAACTCCTTAAAGTTCTCTTCATTCTCTTCTATCTCCTGAATTTTCACAGGCTGACACTGAAAGTGGATACCTTAGCGCGTTTCCTAAGGGTTCCGCTTGGCTTCGCTTTACTCTGATCCAGTTGCAGATCTGGCTGATTTGCGAGACAATAAAACAAAGCATTTTTTAAAAAGGTTCTAAATCTGCATCTGAAACTCTTAGATTCGATATTCCGAAATCACACGAATTATGTATATACATTTGCATGCATACCCCTTCCCCAAATAATCCTCAGAAAACCGTTAAGTGTCCAAACTACTCTCCGGAGGCTTCGGTAATCAACAATTCAATAAATACAATTCGTAACGTGTGGTGTACAGATCCTGTATTGCCCACCGTTTTCTATTGCTTTGTCCCCGAGCGCCCTCAATTTTGCCTAAATGGGTTCCAGGCCATAGCCACCGACTCTTGCTTGGCCTTCTGGCCTCGAGGCAGTGCGCTTCAGCACCATTGCGCCAGGTGAGGCTGCTGAGAACAGCTAAGTGGCCAGCACTAGTGCAGCTGGAGGCCAAGGCCCAGAATCTTCAGGAATCTGCACTTCACCCAGGCGAAAAGCCCAAGGGCTCTCCCCACAGTTTCCCAACATCCCTCTACAGATTTTTTAAAAAGTAGACTTATTAACCTGTAGAGGTGGAGAGAATCAAAGAAATCATAAGATACCTCTGAGGGAAAAAGGAGAGTACCAGGAGTACATCACTTAAGAGTATTGAACCAGCAAGCCAAGGATAGGAGAATGGAATGGATAGGATGATTGCAGGGGATGGTACTGAGGTGAGTACGAGTCGCTACTTACTATTAATAGGTTGAGCCAAGCACACTAATGGGGGCATAACCAAAATACTTAACAGGGCACTCTTTTACCCACCATGGGTTTTACAGCATAGTTGCTGAAGGATGTAGCACCCTGCTGGTTCTAGAAGCTTCCAGAGCCAAGGAACCAGAGCATGAGAGCATAAAAATCCTGTCAATTGAAGCCTTGGGCTCTACACTGCTAACCCTGGCCCAGAGACTGGATTGCAAATGCAGGTGCTAGTGTAATGGAATGGATGTTTGTGTCCCCTTCAAATTGTATATCAAAGCCTTAAACCCCAAGGTGAAGGTATTTTGGAGGTAGGGCCTTTGGGAGGTAATCAGGATAAGATTATGACCATGGGATCTCCATGATGAGATCAGTATCATTATAAGAAACAGAAGAAGGACCAAAGTGTTCTCTCTCTCTCCACCATGAGAGGACAGAAGGAGAAGGTAGCAGTCTGCAAGCCAGGGAGAGAGCCCTCACCAGGGAACCGAATCAGCTGGCAGTTTGATCTTGGACTTCTCAACCTCTCACACTGTGAGAAAGAAATTTCTTATGTTTAAGCCAACCAGTCTGTGGTATTTCGTTATGGAAACCTGAGTTAAGATAGCTGGTTCACTGGGGAATCCACTGGGGTGAATCTGTGAAAAGTTTGTGACATGTCAAGTAGTTTACTGCTCCTGGATTTGAGTATTGGCAAGAGCTATTAGAATGATGAGCATAGAGGGAAGCAGGGTACAGATAATACGGTGTGAATCATTGTACTGAAAAAATAAAGGGACATTACATGGTTTTAGGCTGAAGTTATGTGCGGATTTAAGCTGTGGAAGGGTCACTTAGCATACAGTGTGGCAAGTGAGTGGTGCATACTACAGTGGCTCTAGGGAGTCCAGTTGTTTTTTTTTTTTTTTTTTTTTTGAGATAGAGTCTTGCTCTTTCGCCCAGGCTGGAGTGCAATGGTGTGATCTTGGCTCACTGCAACCTCTGCCTCCTGGGTTCAAGTGATTCTCCTGCCTCAGCCTTCCAAGTAGCTGGGACTACAGGTGGATGCCACCATGCCCAGCTAATTTTTTTTTTTTTTTGTAGTTTTAGTAGAGATGGGTTTTCACTGTGTTAGTCAGAATGGTCTCAACCTCGTAACTTCATGATCTGCCCACCTCAGCCTCCCAAATTGCTGGGATTACAGGCATGAGCCTCTGCTCCTGGCCAGGAGTCCAGTTTTTTTCTGCTTATGTTAATGGATGCAAGAGCTGATAGATGGAAAAGTATGGTAATAAAGTGGCAGTAAGCTTGAGTATCCAATAAACTTAAACACTGTTTTTTGAATTGAACTGAAATTGTTGTGTTGTGAAAATGAGAGTTTATCCAAAGAAAGATATGGCTTGGTAAATAGGATAGATGGTGGTCCTCACCAGTTAGATGAGGTCATGACCATGGTATCTCCATGATGAGATCAGTGTCATTATAGGAAATGGAAGAAAGACCAAAGTGCTCTCTCTCTCTCTCTCCACCATGTGAGGGCAGAAGGAGAAGGTAGTAGTCTGCAAGCCTAAGTGTGCTAGGCAGGAGTAGAAACAGGTTTTAGTGATCGTTGAAACACCCAGGACACTACTCTTTGGGAGATGCTGTGCTTGGGTCTGATCACTGAGTTTTAAGATAGAGGGGGGTCCATGATGCTGACAGGGAACTCACTGTTGTGTTGAGTTTTAGCATCTGTGACTCTGAGATGCATATGAGGCTTTTGTAAATTTAAAAGTTGAGAGCAGAAAATACAGGTTTGTATTTTAGAAGGAGATTTGGGAATAAATGTAGCTCTGGTT